GAAGCCCGATGAGTTTTACGCCTGTAACGTGCCAATGTCAGTTGTCTTTAGAGAGAGGATCTACATAGAGGTGAACACGGGAGGGGAGGAGGATACAAGTCGGCGGAGGTACGGATGGGTCGCTCGCGCTTTGAAACGCGCACTCGAAACAAAGTTCGACGACGACGTGGCGATAGAGTGGGTATACTAGACGTGGATTTCCACGTTCCGCCCCGAGGATCGCGTGAGTCTCCGATAAATTATTTTCCACCGATTTTTATATATATTTTCCAATGCTTCGATTCTTTCGCAGAATTGCGTCTCTCGCCTCGTGTATCTTGGGAAGAGGATTCGCTCCACGTGGATATTTTTGAATCAGCGTGGGATCTTACGTGGAGAGATACCTATCGGTGACGCAACCGAGGCGTACTGTCCCGTCCTACGGAAAATGTGTTCGTCGAGTTGAACATTGAGCGATTTCCGAGCCTCCCGTCGTCGAATTCAACAAGATCTGGTTGTAGATCTCACGGCAACGAAGATATCGTAAGATCGGCGCTGAATGACACTCGTGTGTCGTCGACAGCGAGCGAACCCCCCCCTCCAACGATCCGAGACGGTCGAACGCGCTCTCTCTCTCTCCGTATCGAGTACCTCGTCTTGGGAGGTCACCGTCTCTAGGGAGCCCTTCGTCGGCTCAAAGCGTGCTAGCATCCGTTACCGCTGCGCGCTCGATCGGTGCTTGCCATTCTTTGATTCCTGCTGCTCTGCCCCTTGCAGACATCACGGGAGAACAGAAAATTTGAGGTTGCAGAGGGCTCCTAATGCCTGTGTACGTTTTTTATTTATCAAGCCAGATGGGACGAGCATGTCACCCCCGTATTACAACCGACTTCGCTGGCCTAAAATTCATATGAGGCGCAATTACTTTTACGGGTAGCATGATTTTTTTCTATTTTCTGCACTCTGGGATTCCTAATGTTCCGCTTCGGTGGCTTCGAGCAGACAGAAGCGACGTGGTCCAGCGAGATACGAGAGCGCGGCATCTCCCGATGCCTCTGTGTCGCACAGAGTTTTATATCGTTCAGATGTAGCGCGGTTGAACGTCGTGGAACGTCCGAGCTACGTAACTCGGAGGCGCGGTGCGTTTTTTTAGGGCAAAACTGTACGAGTAACTGCTTAGTTTTATTTTTATTGTTCTCATCTTTTGTTATCTGCTTTGTTGTATTATAGTTCATGTTAATTTTTTTGTTTTTGAATTCTTTGTTCTACACACATGCATGCGTGCGTGCAAACGCAACATGCACACACACAAATATACATTAAATCCTACGTATATTTTCTTGTATATCTTTACACGCCGTTGTAATATTGTATTATCAGAAGCGTCATTTGCATAAGTATGTATCGATGTAATTTCTATTCTCTGTGCGCTCAAGAGGCGCTCTATCCTGGAGCGCACAATAAATGGCGATTTCATCATCATCATCATCTCATCTCTCGCGTCGGGCGACGCGCCGCGTGGGGTGGGCAACGATTCTCGCTCGCACCGCGAGGAAGAGCGACCGTACGGAAGAGAGAGACAAACGCGACAACCCTCCTTCTTGTCGCGCGCCGCGAGAGCGCTCGGCTCGAAAACCGAACGACACCGCGGAATCACAATCTCGTCCCGTCTCGCTCCCCGAGGCGTCGCCGTTCGCCGCGCGCGACCGAGCGACGGAGAACGCGTGGACGCGGGAGAGTCGCGGCGCGCTCGATAGGATTCCCGCGATCGCGCGTTTCCGCGGGGCCGTTTTCGCGGACGCGCCGAGACGCGAATCCCGCGGCGCGATCGAGAATCTCCCGTTCGCGCGAATCCCGCTCGCGGCGTCGTCCCGTCTCGAGTGGGACGACGCCGCGTCGCGAGAGGCGTCCCGTTTTCGTTTTCCTCCTCCCTCCTCGATCTCGCCTCGCGACGAGGCGCGCGATCGAAAACGTCCGCGCCGAGGGCGGAGGAAAACGTTCGGTCAAGAGTAGCGTCGACGGGCCGGCGCGCTCGGGACGCCGCGCGGGACTCGCTCGCGCGCCGGTTCAGCGACTCCCGTACGTTTTTTTTCATTTCGAAGGAGCGTCGACGGGGGGAGCGCGCGGGACCGCGCGGTGGTTCCGACTCGGTTTTTTTCGAAAATAGCGTCGACGGCGATGCGCGCCGACTCGGTGGTTCCGCGACTACGCACCGTTCGTACGTTCCTCATTTCGGAGGAGCGTCGACGGGGAGCGCGCGG